TCGCAGAGCGCGTTGAATGCATCGCGCCACTCTGCCACCGCGTTGGTGGCTGTGCGCCACATAGTGGCTGCCAGGTAGTTCTCGATGCCAGTGGGAACCTCAGCCTTGGTCCAGAGGGACATCGCGAGGATGTCGGACTTCGCGAAGCTGGACGGGGCGACGCGCAGCAACTTGTGGATGGCCTTCAGCTCCTTCTGGAGGATGCCCTCCGAGGGTTCGAATAGCTGGCCAACGTAACCGAGGACCGTGACGGCAGCGACGTTGCACAGTTTGATGCTTTGCTGGATAGGGGCGTGGGACGCAGCAAGCTTCTCGATGCGGTCCCACCACTTGACCGCGGGGCCGCGCCATTGGTCGTCAAGTGTGGCGCCAGGGCCGATGATGAAGCCGAGGTATCTGGCGCTGGACTCAACTTTGAAGGCGGCCCGGGGAGCGTGGGCGGTCGCAAGTACTTGACGTATCTCTGCAATGATGTCCTGAGTGGGCAACGTCCAGGTCGGGACCACGATGCATTCCTTGGCCTGGAGGCACAGCCCCGCGAGAGTCTCCACCGCGATGATGTGCGGCGCGAGCTTGCTGATGTCCGCGAGCCTCGCGAGGATAATGCCGAGGTCGTCAGCACATGCGCTAACCAGACCGCGCTCGATGGCTGAGAGCTCTCTGGTGAGGGCTCTGATGACGGGGTCGAAGACGAGGGCCCATATCGTTCCGCTTAACGGGCAACCCTGGGCGACTCCTGGGGCTGCGATCAGGAGGGGGTGGCGTGCACCTGCCAGGTCCAGGTAGGAGACAGGCCAATGGTAGCAGGCTTGAAGCAGGTGAAGCATGTGTCCGTGGATGCCCCACCGCTGGAGAACGCTCCACATCCAGCGGTGGCCGAGGCTGGGGAAAGCGGCCGCGATGTCCATGCTGACAAAGACGGGCTTGTCAGTAGCTGCATTAGGTGAAAGACTGTGACGTCGAGCGGCGGCGTCCACCACGACGACGTTGCGCAAAAACTGGCGGCCATTGACGAATCCCTGCTGCTCGGGGGACGTCTCGGCTGCGAGGGCGTGAAGCTGCTTCACGTCCGAGTTCTCCATTGAGAGCGGACGTAGGCACTCCGCAGGGCTCGTCGCCCTTCGGTAGCGTGGCCATGAGGGAGTAGTTGAGGTCGTGAGGCGGTGCGCGTCGGGTAGCGATGCCCCTGCAGAAGTCGGCGAGGATGTCGAAGCTGTCGGGAGTACGCAGCCATGCTTTGTAAGGAAGTGTGTCAGGACCTGGTGCTGAATCGCCAGCCAGGCGAGCGGCCTTCTCGAGAGCTTGGGCGTCAGGAAGGTCGAGGTGAGTGAGTGCGCGTCTGGGAAAGATCGAGTCGAGGTAGTTGGAGAGGGCGTCGTCGGGAACATGATTTGCGGAGAAGACAGGGGCCCAGTGGCGCATGATGGCCTGATGCATCGTCGCGGGGTCGGTGACGATGTTGGTGACGCCGCCCGCGATGATCTTGAGGCCCGTCAAGACGAGCCGCTTGGAGAAGGGCTTCCAGAGCTCGCCGTGGAGGCCTTCACGTTTGGCGCGCTGGCGCCACTTCTGACCGAGCTGGACATTGTTGGCGGCGAAAGCGGCTCGCGAGCGTGCCGCAGAGAGGGCCTTGCGCTCATCACTAAGGCTCGCGTGCGTGGCGTCGGTGGTCGAGGTGAAGTCATGCATGTCGTTGATGCTGACGGTGCGACCGTCAATCTTCAGGTGCAGTTTGCCGATGTCAGTGTTGTCGATCAGCGTCTGGGCAAGGGGGATGTTCTGGTACCATGCGGCCCTGGCGATGCTGCGTAGTGTCGTGGCCCTGGTCTCCTTTCTGACAGTACCACTTTGTGATGATAGTTCGGCGGCTGGGATCTTGAGAAGCGTGTCGCGGGCTCTGGCAGCAGCAACTCTCATGGCTGCCTTCAAGGCCCTCCAGCGCGCCGTGGGAGTGAGGGAAGACATGTCGACCGCGGCGAGCACTCTTGTGATGTGGTGCTTGTAGTGGTCGGTGTCGAAGATGTACGCGGGGATGCCGCGCTCGGTGACCTTCTTGGGCTTGCGAAGACGGATGCGCAGGTGCATGATCTTGTGGTCGCTGACGGGGCCCTTGGGGTTCTCGAGGGGAGCGTCGTCGGCGATGTAGACAGTTTCCATGAAGGGCATGAGGTGGCTGGGTAGGTTGATGAAGCAGCGGTCAATCGTCGATTCATTCTTGTTAGCCTCCGACCTGTGTGTCGTCGAGGGAGTCACTATCTCGATGACGTCGCGGAACAGGTTGCGCCAGAAGACAGGTTGGTACTGGTACCGCTGTGAAGCTGTGGTGTCTGAGTCGACAGGCGTGTTGATCGAGCGTGGTGGGAACTCGGAGACGTTGAAGTCGCCGACGATGACTAGAAGCCGATGCTGAGGGGCTTCGTCAGCATGATGGCGGAGAGCGTGCCATTGGTCACGAAGGAGAAACCGATCTGCTGGAGTCAAGCCGAAGTTGTGAATGTTGAGGACGGTGACTTCGTGCTGGAGGTTGGCATCCGTGGTCCGGAGCCGCGCGGCTCGGCCAGGGATGACGACCTCGAACCTGAGTTGAGGCCGTTCGTCAGGGGGAAGTTGAAGCTCTGCTTTGTCGTAAGGGGACGAGGAAGCCGATGCCACCAGCGTTCGTTACGGGCACGCCGTTGACCTTCACAGGCGAGTGGAAAGCTTTGTACCGATGTTGAGTAGAGTTCGCCAGCAGCTTGAGGTCGTCCAGTGTCCCATGAGTCTCTTGAACTGCAATGAGAGCTCGTTGGCGAAAATATGGTAGGAGTTGCTGGCGTTTGTCCGCGCGACGTAGTGCGGACTGTCCGAGAAGCGCTTGCGAGTTCCAGAATGCGATGTCCAGGCCCTCCTGCGAGGGCTTCAGGAGCCAGGGGCTCCAGCGAAGGCTAAAGCCACTGTGCGGCGGCGAGGGGGTCTGCGAAGTTGCTGATGAACTCGGCTGCAATCTGCTTCTGGTCATCTTCAGAGATTCCGAGTCTGATGGCGGCTTGTGACCACTGGAGCTTAGTAGGAGCATCAGCATTGCTGCCAACAATAAGCCGAACCAAGGCTTCGCCACGGCACGAAATGTATCCCAGGGTTCTGTGTGAGCGAGCGTCGAGGTCGGGCTTGAAGTTCTGCATGATCTTGGCGAGGCGCTTGATCTGGACCTCCGTGCGGACGGCCTTCGGGCTTTTGTCGGCAGATACGTATAAAGGAACGAGTTTGTCATTACCACAATCGAGAGTAAATGTGCGCCAATCCTTTCCATTGCGCAAAGTATTATGAAGCCGTTGCGCCCGAGGTTCCGCAACCACTGTGCCTCCACTGACTTGAAACGAATGGCGCTTGGAGGGGCCAACTGTGTTGAAGATGACCATATCCTTCTTGATGTTGGCGGCCTGGAACCATGGGATAAGCGCTTTTTCCAGGTGCTGCTGACTGAACTCCTGCGGGCTGCTGCACCAGAAGGTCGTGATGTCGGGGTCGCGGTCCCAGCTGCCCAGGCCGTCCAGGTTGAGGGCGGGAGCGCGTGCTTCAGCTGCTGTGACAATGGACTCGAGCTTGGCGACGGCGGCTTTGAGTTCGGAGTTCTGTTTTTCCAGGGCATTGGTGCGGAGCTTGACTGCGGTGATGTCTCGTTCTGTGGCTTCGTGCCGTCTGCTGAGGTCGGACGTGATCTGCGTGAGGGAGGCGAGAAACTCTGAGCTGGCCTTTGCTGTGACTGCCTTGGCTGTGGCTTCGAACTTTTCGGTGGCGTCTTTGATCTGGGCAGCCATGGTCTCCTCGAGTTGCTTACGAACATGTGCTGGGAGGTCGTGGACTGCGAGTTTGGAAGCACTGTCATGCCATGGATCTTGTTGTCGCTTGACAGGGTCGGTGGCTCCGTCTCGAGGGGTTGATGCAGCGCTGGCCATGCAGTCGACGGGAGGACCCAGGTTGGCGACGACAGCGAACTGAGCGAACTGAGGCCCGCGCCAGCCTCTGGTGGCAATCCGCCGAAGTGCGCGTGGAGGAGACTGCAGGCGAATGCAGCTCCAGATATGAAGCTCAACCCGCTGGGCAGCAGGAAGGCGAGGATATGAAAACGTGTCCTTAGCTGTCCCTGGACCAAGGGTCTCCGTGCTCTGCCACGGGGCTGAATCATCTTGAGCCAAAATGGCTACGGAGGAGGAGGAGGAGGAGGAGGAGGAGGGGGAGGAGGAGGAGGAGGAGGAGGAGGACGAGGAGGAGGAGGAGGAGGAGGAGGACGAGGAGGAGGAGGAGGACGAGGAGGAGGGGGGGCTCCGGTTGTGGGGCAGCTCCTCCGAACCCCCCCTGCTCCCCGATCCGTCTCATCCGCCTTGCCTCTGCTCCTCGAGCCTCGCACTCCTCCGGCTCTTCCTCTTCCTGGCTCCGCCCTGCAGAAAGGGGCCCTGAGACACACAAAAAAACAGACACGAATGACAGGATACACCATGTCTGCCCATATCTTCTGGGCTTTTTGTCTTCCCCACCGCTTCCCATATGTTTCCATATTTTCCTGGAAACCGACGGTTGATTGTGTCTGTGTGTTTTTCCCCTCCTGACCTGATCTCCTCACTTTTCAAGGATTCAAGTCCCCGTCTGCCCTTGACTGTCGAGAGATGGGCCCTGCTCGAAAATCGGTCGAATCGATGGGATCACCGACTCGATCGAATCGAGCCGCATCAGAGGAGGAGGCGAGTCGCCTGTTGGGATGCGTACGTGGTCGAATCGACCGAAGGATGCGTACATTGTCGAATTGATCGAATCATGGACAGCCCTGGAATACCGAAGCTCATCTCCTCGACCTTCCGGCTGCTGCTGCCCCTCCTTCTCCTCGATCCTCCTACTGGCCCTCCTCCTACGGGTACGGCGTCAAGGCTTGCCTGGGGAGATGCTGCTGGCTGATGTGGACGTGGCCGGCTTGCCCGGGGTGATACTGATGTGCAACTGGCCCGACGCAGTAGGCACGGCGACGCTCACGCCCCAGCGCCGTGAGCACGGCGACGCCGCGGCGCCGTGCCAGTCGCCTCGGCCTCGGCCTTTGCACCCGAAGCCGCCTCGTAGCAGGCAGCGCACGGGCTGGGCGCGCCTGCGCCGTCGACCTGGGGCGCAGGCAGCGCCTTCGGCGTCAGGCTCACCAGGCGGGCGTACTCCTCCTCGAGGCCTTTGGCGCGCCAGTCGACGTCGCGGCCGGGCGAGCGACCAGGCGCCGCAACCAGGCCGGCGACCTCTGAAGCTGGCGGGCGGCTGGCCTGCGGCACCTCCACAGAGGTGGCTGGCGGCCGCTTCGGAGTCCAGACCTTCTGCTTCGGGCCCGGCCGCGCCGGACTCGCCCTGGACTTCTTCGCGGCCGCCCGCGCCGGGGAGGCCGCCGGCGAGGGCCGCGCAGGCGTCGGCGGGGGGGCCGCCGGCGGGGCCGCCAGCGCGCTGTGGCCTGGAGCGTCGGCGTCGTTGCCGCCGCCTGCGGGGTCAAGCGTCGGCAGGGACTGCGTCCGCCGCAAGGGCCTCTGTGCCATCTCCGCCTCGCCCTCCGGGATGTTTATGAACGTGTTCTTGACGCTGGGCCGCGCAGACGTCAGCGGGGAGTCCGCCAGCGAGGGCTCGGCGGCGGGCGGCGCGTCCGCCGCGCGCTGCGCGCCCTCCTCCTCGCTCGCATCCACGAAGGCCGGGCGGCGCGAGAGCTGGGCGACCACGGAGGGAAGGTGGAAGGAGAGCTTGCGCTGGAAGGCCTGCTGCATCTCCCTGGGGCTGCCGCTGGGGCGCGCAGGCGTCGGCGGGGAGTCCGCCAACGATGCCGCCGGCGAGGGCCGCGCAGATCTCGGTGGGGGGGACGATGGCGAGGGCTCGGCTTCGGGCGGGGCGGCCGCCGCGCGCTGCGAGCCCTCCTCCTCGACGTCCTCAAAGACGAGGCGGCGCGAGAGCGGCGCGGGAGCCTCCTCCCCGATGCTGGCCGCCTGCTGCTTTCGGCGCTGCTGGCCCTCAGCCACAGCTGCGCACGCCGCCTCCAACAGCCGCTCTGAGCTTGGGGCTGGGCTCCTGCTGAGATCGCGCAGGGGCGGACTGCCGCCAGCCTCGGCGCAGCTGTTGCCCTCCCCGAGGTTGGCCTGCTGCTCTCGGCGCTGCTTGCCCTCAGTCACTGCTGCGCACGCTGCCTCCAACACCCGCTCTGGGCTTGGGGCCGGGCTCCTGCTCAGGTGGCGCCTGGGGGGGCTGCCATCCCTGATGCACGCGCCGCTGCCATCCCAGATGTCGGCCCCCTCTGGGCGCGCGGGTGAGTGACTCAGGGAGCGGCTGACCCGATCCTGGAGCCGCTCCTGGAGCGCCTCGCGCCTGAGCTGCTCCACCAGGGCCTTCGGCGGGCTTGCCGATGGAGACCTGGCGGCTGGCGAGAAGGGCGTGAACGACGCGGCGAGGGGGTTCAGGGGTTTAGCCTTGGGGGATGCGGCAAGCATCGCCTCGGCGCGGCAGGCAGGAGGCGGCCGCCAGGCGCCGACCAGGTTGGCCTCGGAGAGGGCCGTGGGCCCGGATGCCGAGGTGGCGCTGGTGCTCGGAGCGGCTGCGGGCGGAGGGAACGGCGAGCGGGGCGCCGGAAGCGCGATCGGACAGCCCGCGGGGGGCGGCGGCGGCTCCAGAGGCGCGGGCAGCACGGACAGGCCTCCTGCCAGGGGCGTCGGCGAGACGACCTGCCTCCGCCAGGGACCGGGGACGGCGAGAGCATCGACGGCGCCCGCCGCGCAGCCGCAGGAGGCCTCCAGCGGCTCCACGCGCACGGCGGCGGGGTGCTTCCGCAGGTGCCGCCAGCGCAGCAGCACCAACAGCAGGACCGCGTCGACGAGGCTGGCTGCGCCGCACCACGCCCAGGCAGACGCAGACCGAGGGACTGCACTCGCGGTGGGGGCCAAGGGAGCATGTGCGGCGATCACTGCAGCGAGCTCCACTGCTTCGTTCTGAATGGCAGTCCTATCCGCGGCTGACTTCTCGGCAGACGCATCGGTTGCATTCTGCGCAGCTGCCCACTGCGCAACCATACGCTCTTGTGCCGTCGCCTCGTCGACAATCCTATCCTTCGCGGCGGTCTCCTGAACTGCCGACTCTTTTGCCGCCGCCTTCTTGTCCGTCCTTCCTTTGACCGTCTTGTCCCAAACTGCTTGCGATGCGCACCATGGGTGCGCTGCAGGCAGGTGCTGTGAAATGTCAGGCAAGTCCTCAGAAATGCCAGCCATGAGGGCCTCTCTGATCAATTGCACATCTGGCAAAATGGGCAACTGCTCGCCTGGGAGATACGCCTTCCACACGCAGAAACCCCAGAAGACGGTGATCGCCGCTGCGGTCCCGGAAACCATTCGGGGCGACGCCTTGTGTGCAAGCGGTCAAGAAACAGGGGCACGCGTGCTCAGGGGGAAAACACAATTAAAGCAAAGTGGCTATGAACGACGCGCGGGAGTGGGTGATGATGGATGAGTGGGCGGAGGACCAGGACAAGTTGGGGAATGTTGTTCGCTTCAGCTGAGCTTGCCTCAAAGCTCCAGGGTCAAGGCCAGCGCCCAGATGAGAGCGACGAAGAAAAGGGTGTCTCACGCATGAGGATACAGTGACCTCAATTATGCGACGGCTTCAGCAGGCATCCCAAACTGCTCACCACGTGAACACAATACGCCTAAACGCGACCTTGCGCGGGCAATTTGCGCGATAATGCCCGCGCAGCCGACGCTCCTACGGTGAGGGCATTGGACAAGGAACCGTTGGAGAAGGAATCCAGGGTCTGGAGGCTGGTGGAAAGCCAATCGTGGATTAGCCATGGATAGCACCGCCGCCCTCATCAGATAAGGAACCCTCCAAGGCACGCTCCATTTCTTGGATCCGCGCTGGGCTCCCCTCCCTGGCGCGCGGAGTGCGCCAGGGGCGGCGCCGGAGGCGGCGCCAGGGGGGCCCAGCGCGGATCCAAGAAATCCGCGCGGAGCTCCAAAAAGTCTATGTTAATGCCGTTTTTTCTTCTTCGAGCTAAGACGGTCAAGATGGCCTCCACGACGGCCAGGATGGCCTCCACGGTCGCCCAAGATGGTCCAAGACGGCCTCCCAAGAGGGCCCAAGAGGGTCCGATGTCCCTCCAAGTCCGCCCAAGAGACCACCAAGACGGCCCAAGATGGCTACAAGATGGCCCAAGACGGTCCCAGAAGCGTCCCATATGGATGGATGTCTGCCGGAGTCGTGCGCGCTCCGCGAGGGAGCCCGCCCGTGCCCAGTAGGGCATGGCGTGGAGGCCGTGGCCCCAAGAATGTCCCCAAGAGAGGTGGGCACTTCCCGCGGGGGCCCTGGGACACGCCCTCAGGGGCGGTCGAGCCCCTTCCGAACACAGCGCATTCTTTGTTTCGATGCTCTGGCCCAAGCGGGAGGGCGACGACGAGGACGAAGGGTGAGGAGAGGGGGGGGCGAGGACGAAGATGCAGATGAGCGGCGCAGATTCTTGGCTGCCCTGGCAGATGCGCGAGAGGGGCCCCCGTTGCGAGGAAGGCAAGGGGCATCCAGCAGCACTCCGAAGGGAACTCCAACTAAAAGGTCGATGGGGAAAGGCACAAAGAATCTGAAAGGAGGGTCCCGCCGACACTCTACGCGTGGGTGGTTCGTGGTAACAGATCTTCCAAAATTGTGCTCCTCCGAGATTGCGTCCCCCGTCTCCTACCCCTCGATTGGAGAGTAAATCTTGTTGCCGCGAGGTGTCAGGGGGTCACTACCAATGCGCTGCCCAGCCATCCACCCCGTTTTCTTCTCTTGTTCCTGCCTTCTAGTCATCATGTTTTGTCGTGGGAACGCGTGAAGGTAGCTCGCCAGAAAAAAAAACATCCCTCGAGCAAAAACTCGCCGCTCGCGCGAGCCTTCACGCATGCGCCTGTTATTCTCCGTTCGCGCGTGAATCGACACACGGCGCATCCTCTTTCGCTCGAACGCGCAAAGAACTATAGTCAATGTCCCATCGGCACGGAGGGCGCAGGGCCCCGAATGTGGACACTGTAAGACGTAGCCAAGTCAGAACGGGGATCACATCGGGTAAAGATAAATCGAGGATCTCTGAGGTCCGACGGTTCTGGATAATGTCTCGGGCGCCGCGGCCTTCTCGGAGGGTCCCGGGAAAACCTTACAACGTTCCTGGACGCTCTGGAACGGATTTGTCCTCCTCCTCCTAGCTCCGTCCGGCAGCGTCGCACTTACAACAAGCGCGCGGGCGCCCGAATTTCCTGCGCGCCTGGGTTCCCGCACGCAGATATGGTGCGGCCGCCGATAGCGGCGGAGGCAGGAAAAGGGGGGCGGAGGGAGAGGGGGCGAGGAGGGGACGTGGCGCGGCTGAGGAAGAGGGGGAGGGAGGCGGGGGGGGGGGGGGAGGGGGCGGAGGAGGAGGAGGAGGAGGAGGAGGAGGAGGAGGAGGAGGAGGAGGAGGAGGAGGAGGAGGAGGAGGGGAGGAGGAGGAGGAGGAGGAGGAGGAGGAGGACGAGGAGGAGGGGAAGGAGGGGGAGGAGGAACAGGAGGAGGAGGAGGAGGAGGAGGAGGAGGAGGAGGAGGAGGAGGAGGAATTGGAGGAGGAGGAGGAGGAGGAAAAAGGTGTTTGGCCCGGACAAGGCCTGATCACAGGTGTGCTGCCAGAGAGGTAGCCACGCCCTGCTACTGTACCTCACAACAAAGGAGCCAGCGTGGCACTGGCGTAGCCGCGCCAAACGCCACCAGGCCCGACTTCTTCTCTTGTTGAGCAAGTTGCTGATCGTCTGGCCGAATTGAAACAGAAACGTGACAATTGTGTCTCAATCGCATCAAGGCCTTGACGGCAAAGATGAAGGAGATAGGAGGCCAGGAGGAACGAGGCAGAGCGTGACTGAGTCTTGTGGAAGAAGGTCCATCGGGGAACTGGAGGACCCAGATAATTAGCAAATTGGAAGTGAAATGAGCGACTGCGAGCCACGTGCATGTGCAGCAGGAACCCACCCAGCAGGTGGGATGCCACCACTAGCGCCGATGCCAGCCCCCGCTCCGCCTACCGCATGGCCCACAGTGGACGCTGCGATCGGCCTTGCTCAGGCAGACCAAGCAACGAGGGCGACGGAGGCATGTCCACCTTTGCCTCCGCCGCCGCCACCAGCCTCAGCGTAAATCGGATGGAGCAGCTGCTGATGTTTATGATTGACAAACAGCATGCCGCCGATGCTCATAATAACATCGTCATCGGCCACCTCCAGCCCCAGTGCACAGTGCCGACTCAAGCTACGCCTACGCCACTCGGTTTTCGTGTACCAGGTCAGACACAAGGTCCACAACATTGTCCAGCGTCAGGAGCAGCACCGAAAAAAACGATCGGATGTACCGCAACACAAGTCACAGCAGTGCCGAAGAGCAGTTTGCCCATCCCGACGGAGGAGCCGCGCCCGTTCAGCCAGCCCGAGGTGATTGCTTCCAGCCAGCCGCTCTCGTCGACGGAGGTCCCCGAGGATCGATATGGGAGCCAAGTCTAGGAGAAGACCCCAATAACCAAGGATTTTAATGCCGCATTTTTGGGCCTACCCCAACCGATGGCCCCCCCCCCAATGCCCAGGAGGATCCCCCGGTGCCCCCGCCCGAAGGGGAGGTGGAACCCAAGACGGGAATTGAGAAGGAGCTTCGAAGCCCTCCGCCGAAGGTGCCGACGCGGGAGGGCGAACTTCCGACGAATTTCAGTCTGGACCAAACGCGATCAGGTTAATTAAACCCTTCTCCCAGTGGCGGGGCCGCGAGAAGAGTTCCCCTTCCCCTCGTGCTCTAGTTGACCTGGGATCGCGTCTGAGATCGCCCGCGGGGCCAGAGAATTCAAAAAACCAACTAATTGCACCTCCCTTGTCTGATTCTGGGGCCCTTAGCTGCCCCGATACACAACGCGCAAAGTAGCGTCGACAAACGCACGCACGCATGCACGCACGCACTATTCTTCTACCGCCCAGCCAAGCCCAATGGCACAGGGGGACAGAGAGAGGGAGGAGGGGAGGGAGGAGGAGACCGAAGGAAAGCGCGGCCTCCAGATGAGGCGAGAACTAATTCCATAATTCGTCCGGCGGGCCGGGGCGCTCTAGCAGCCGGCGGCGCAACGCCGCGCGCCAACCGGCCTCGCTGCCGCCTGCGCGCGGGGCCCCGAAAAGCAGCAGCCCGGCCGCCTGCGGGGGCAGCGCTGGGGCCCATCCCGAGCATGGGCGGCTGGCGAAGCGCCCCCAACCTTGCGCCCAGCAACCACGCACCATGCAGGCCACCCAGGCCGGGCCCTGCGAGGCCACGTGCGCCCGCCAAGCTGCGCCCGCGAACAGCGCGGCCGCCGCGCCAGGGCGCGATGAGCTTCGGCAGGCGCACCCTGGGTCCCCGGCGGCGCTGCCGCGGCCACGGCGGCCGCGACGGCCGCGTCGCCCCCCTCGCGGGGCGCGCGGCGGCGGCGGCGGCGCGGCCCGGCAGGGGCGGAGCGTCGTCGCACGTGCGGCCCGCCAGCGCCAGTGTCGCCGTGGTTCGCTTTCACCGCGGCCAGCTCCACGGCGGCGAACGTGCGCTGCACCGCCTCCAGCGCCTGCAGCTGCCGCAGCCGCTCGCTGACCTGCGCGGGAGGCGGCAAGCGGCAAGCGGCAGCCTCCCTGGCAAGCCGGTCTGGGGCCGCGTTGCCCTGCCAGTCCTCCGCGGACAGGCCGCGCTCCCTGGCCTCGGCCGCGTCCAAAGTGGCCCTTGACCCAACGTGCCTGGAGCTGCCCGCTGCGACAGTGCGCGGAGGCGCAGTCCCAAATGTCGGCACGCACGCACACACACATGCGCGCACGCACGCACGCACGCACGCACGCACGCACGCACGCACGCACGCACGCACGCACGCACGCACGCACGCACGCACGCACGCACGCACGCACGCACGCACGCACGCACGCAACACACACACACACACAGACACACAGACACACACACACACACACACACACACACACACACACACACACACACGCACACACACACGCACACACACACACACACACACACGCACGCACGCACGCACGCACGCACGCACGCACGCACGCACGCACGCACGCACGCACGCACACACACACACACACGCACACACACGCACACACACACACACACACACACACGCACACGCACATACACACACACACGCACACACAAACACACACACACACACACACGAACGCACACACAAGCACACACATAAGCACGCGCACATACAAACACACACGCCTACGCACACACACACAAACGCACACACACACACACACACGCACGCACGCACGAAATCACGCACGCACACACGCACGCACACACGCACGCACACACGCACGCACGCACGCACGCACGCACACACACACCACATTCACAACATACACACACCACATGCACACACTCACACTCACACACACACACACACACGCACGCACGCACGCACGCACGCGCACATACACACATTCACACACACA